AAAGTACTGTTATGCTGGTTGAAAATGAACTTGATGGACCACAATTTAGTGTGATGGTACCAAATTATAGTTGGGTTATGCCCGAAACGCTAAAATGCACTAGCAACAACCCTGAAGACCTTACATTAGGCCACACCAATTTAATTTGTTGGTTCTCGGATTTTTTCAGAAAAAATATGAAGCGACAGGGCGAAAAAAAATAAAAATAAAAACAGGTCTAGGCATCCTATTATAGGCTTAAATGCTACGAAATGAGCCATGAAGTCAACACAAAAGGCTGGGTTAAAATTTAAACATTGAATTTTGAACTTTTAATCAAACCACTGCAATGATAGATGGGAAAACTGTAACAACTAGGAAGAAAAGGACTTTCCTCAACTGTTGGGGGGCAAAACATGAGCATTTTTCAGTTGATTCAGGAAAAGAATCATTTTTTTTTTTTTTTGCAAATCAGAAAAAAAACGAGGCAAATCCGAGAACCAACAAATTAAATTGGTGTGGCCTTAGGATCTATTCTATCAAGGAGGTTCAAGGTGGTTCAATCTTGTTAGAAATTCTCCTTGATTCTGTTTATTTTTAGCTCCAAGATGTAGAAGGAACATTTTTGGCACAAGTGAATATAAACTTTTAGGGGGTGACCATTAACAACTGTTGGGGAAGCACAGGTCAATTCAAACAGTTCAGGGACTGACCGTTAATAACTGTTAGGGAGGGACATTTGAAAACAAGCATTTCAGGGACTGACCGTTAATAACTGTTACGGAGGGACAATTGAATACAAGCATTTTAGGGGCTGACCACTAACAACTGTTAGGGAGGCACATTTGAAAACAAGCATTTCGGGGACTGACCCCTAATAACTCACTGTTAGGGAGGGGTGTACAAATAGAAGAAGAAGAACCTTACATGTAACTATACATAAAATAAGTACTAGTATTCTTAAGTTAGGATGATATCTATTTATGGATCATCCATTTATTTTTCTTTTGTTTAAAAAAGGGGATGAATGCAGGATTTGCACCCCTTTTGAGATTGATATTGGACAGTCCCTATTTCTGAAATTGTAGTAATAATAATAACAGCAACATGCAAGGAAAGTATTCCAAGGCCAGTGCACTTTCATGCACAAATGATCCACAACAACATCATTACAGACACCACAAGACACCTGCTACAATCGCGATCAAACTGATTGCCTGAGGGTCTGCATGGGGGGATCCCAGCAACCTCTTAATGGACAGTTCCTGTTTCTGAAATCATAGTAATGATAATAACAGCAAAATGCAAGGGAAGCAATCCAAGGTCGGTGCACTTAACTTTCATGCACAAATGATCCACAATATCATCATTACAGGCACCACAAGACACCTGCTACCTTTGTGATCTAACTGCTCGCTTACGGGTCTGCGTGTATAGCCTCCGTAGCAGGCTTATAGAACTGTGGGTTTGGTGGTCTTCGGCTGTTTTCTGATTAGCCTCCGTAGCAGGTTTATAGAACTGGGGGTTTGGTGGTCTTCGGCTGTTTTCTGATTAGCCAAGTTTTAAAAACGGGGGTAATTCAACCAGGCTGGCTATGTTGTCTATATGCAATCAGAAAATTTTAAATAGCACAAAAAGCTCCCAAAGACCATGAAGACCCCTAAACCCAAAAAAAACCAGTTTTTTGGCATGCTATGCGAGGCTACTGCATGGGGGGATCCCAGCAACCTCTTAATGGTAAATTCTGGAGGGCCAGCAACACTTAGGATAACTTAAGGACAGCAGGCAGCGTAATGGTTAATGGTAAATCTACTTTGCTATTTCAACAGGTTTTAGTTCAATGAACTCAGGATTGTTCCATTGTATTCATGGGGGTGCCTGGTAGTAAAGGCTGTCAATACTAACACAGCTGGACACTTGTGAACTTTTGGTAATCTCCAAGCAGATGTTTAGGTGGCCACAAACGACAGTATCAAATTGGCCAGGCAGTATCCATTGGCCTCTTCGGTGGCTAATGGACACTCCTCTGGCCAATGGATACTGCCTTGCCACAGTATGATCTGCTTGGAGATTAAAATTTGGCAATGTGGGGTTTGAATTTGAGAAATGAATAACGTATTGAATTAACAAAGAAGTCCGGTTACAAAATAACAAGCTACATGGAATCATGAGCAGCCAATTATACTTCAGAAATAATGTGCATTCAGCGTCAAATTAAAGGAGGCCGGATACAATTACACAACAATATCTTGGCTCACTGTTTGAGGCCAAACAGCCTCCATAGCAAGCCAAAAACTGGGAGTTTGGGGGTCTTCATAGTCTTTGGGAGCTTTTATGTGCTGTTTTCTTATTACATATAGACAACATAGCCGGCCTGGTTGAATTACCCCCGTTTTTTTAGAACTGGGCTGATCAGAAAACAGCCGAAGACCACCAAACCCTCAGTTCTATAAGCCTGCTACGGAGGCTAGGCCTAGGCTGATTGGGCCTCCTCCCTGAGTGCTTTACCAGTTAAATAGCTGCTAGAAGCATGATATAGTCAGGCTACAACTAAGGAAAAATCTAAATAGCTTGCTAGGGCTGTACCGAAAAAATCGAAAAGGCACGGATATACAATGTATATACCCTAGCCTCTGTAGCAGGCTTATAGAACTGGGGGTTTGGTGGTCTTCAGCTGTTTTCTGATCAGCCCAAAACGGGGGTAATTCAACCAGGCCGGCTATGTTGTCTATATGCAATCAGAAAATAGCACATAAAAGCTCCCAAACTGCCAAAGACCCTGAAGACCCCCAAAACCCCAGATTTTGGCATGCTATGGAGGCTATGGTTTGATTGACCTAGATTTAAAACATGTATAGCATGTGTCCTACTTATAAACACTAAAACAAACAAATTATTCTACACCCTACCAACTATCCAGGCTAAAATAAACACTCTCCAAAAATACTACAATACCCCGTGACATTACTTCACCTTTCTACCATATTTTCAACCCAGTTTTCGGGCCACCGTCAACATACGCTCTAACGTAACCTGATTAACCAACATATCAAAACAACAGGGGCCATTTTCTTATCCCTCCCGCCAAAAATATGTTGCTTCAAAATATCCCTTGCAATTTTTACGTTCTAAGTTCTAGAAGGGGTAAACAAGCAGAGAGAAAGGGAGAAGACTTACTAGAAGCCATTGGTACGAATGCAGCATCATATCGCCCGTTTGGTCTGTATATCCAGGTTAGGAAAGCAGAGATCTTCGCCGCTCACGCGAACCAAAACGTGAAGATTAGGCGCGGGGTCACCGGAGGGTCAGGGGTCAAAAGGTGCGCGGGAAATTCGAAGGAATGTGGGGCCCTCTAGCGGAATGTTTTTGAGCTGCAGCCTGACCGGTTACTGTAAGGCCACACCAATTTAATTTGTTGTTTCTCGGACATTTTGCAGAAAAAAAAAGGAGCGACAGGACGAAAAAAAAGGCCAAGGAACCCCACGAAAGCCGGAAATGTTACAATATGAGCCTTGAAATGAACATACCAGGTTGGTTTATAATTAAAACAATAGATTTTGAACTTTTAATGAAACAAAATTGCAGTTACATTGAAAAACTTAAGAACTAAGAAGAAAAGGACTTTTTCAACCATTGGGGCCAAAATATGTCTTTCATTGAGTATTTTGCAGTTAATTTAGAACCCCAAAATGGACAGGGCAATCCGAGAAGCAACAAATTAAATTGGTGTGGCCTAACCATCTTTTAGAAGACTCAAACTTTGCTTAACCTCTTCCTGCTACCCATCAAATCTACAAATCTGATCATAATACCAAAAGGCTAATTCAGAGAAAAAAGTAGCCTCTACCAGGCTTCAGGAGGCGACTGGAAAGAGTAGAAATCGGCCAAATAGAGAGATAACATACCAGGGGAGTTTGTCTGCTGGGAGAGAACATTTTGCCGCTCGGTTTTCTCCCAGCAGACAACCTCCCCTGGCATGTTATCTCTCTATTTCAATTTTTACTCTTTCCAGCCACCTCCCGAAGCCTGGTAGAGGCTAAGAAAAAAGGACTAAGGAGGTTTTATGGCTGAAATCTTCTAAATGATGACATGCATTTCATTTCTAACGTTAATGTTATATGTAACATTATACTTTTATGTTATATGTAACATTATACTCTCAACCTATAGGCTGCTATCTATTTTCATAAATGAATGAATGAAGGAAGGAATGGATGAATGATTCTCTTTATTTACAATGTATTACTTCATGTACCTACTGCTTTGTATGTTAATAAATTTACTCAATTTCAAAAGATTTTTTTTTACTAAGAAACAGATATCATCCATATACTAGTAATAAACTCCATGTGGCCATACTATAGTTATTAGATGTACTATAATTATACAGCTACAGATATGACATTTCACATTTGTATGTTAACTTTCTTTATTTCAAAAGAGATTTTTTTTACAGGGAAACACTAGATATTGTTCACACCACTAATTATGTAACTCCATGTGGCCATACTATACAATTATTAGTATAAAGCTACACATGACATGTACGTGTAAAAATGATATCCAGCTAAGGCCTAGGAAAAAATAGTTGTGTTTCAGTCCTGAAACATTAGGTTCGTTAGGTAGGGATTATCTTTCTTTTTATTTCTTTTTTTTCTTCTAGCAATTTCTAGTGATCCAACTAATGAAAATGAAATGAAATACCTTCATTGTACATTCATGCCACGACAGGCTATGTACAGGTCAAGACTTGACAGACACATAACAGAGGTATGCAGAAAACATACATAAGGAACATACAAGGGTACTATACTAATGCATGAGGACACTTCTGTATTCAATGTCCATGTTGGAAAACTGATTGTACAATGTTTCATCATTCAGGTGTCAGATCATGGAGCTAGAAAAGGTTAATCAGCTCACATGAAGGAGTCCACACAAAAAAGGCTACAGCATTTTTTTCTAGGGTTGGTCAGGATTTGGAAACACAAAATTATTGCCCTAGGCCTAAGTATTAATGTAAAGCTACAGATATGACAAGTGAATGCAGGGTAAGGTTTCCAAACAAAAAAAGTCTAGGGTCGGCAGTTTCTTCTAGGGTCGGTCGAGAAACAGGAAACACAACAAGTGACATCCAGCTAACGAATGTGATGCTAATTAGCCATCCTCTTCCTGCTCGTTATCGTTATCACTCTCATCAGAATCCTCGACTGCTCCCACCTTCTCTAGTCTGGCGATGATTTCTGAAAAAACAACAACAAAGTTTTCTTTTAGAAACAGCTAAGTTTATATTTTTGTTTATCATGGGTTTCCTTGGCTGAAGGGACTATACATTTTGTACCCAAGATTAATACATAAATGAACAAATAAACTGGCAATCCTTGAATACATCTTTAATTCTTGCGTGTCCATCCTTGATTACTATAGTTAACTGTACCAATCTAAAAACACATGCATATAATACTGTAATACGTGTTTAAAGTTAAAACTTTTGGTCCAACAAAAAAAGTTCTCTCACCTAGAGCTTTTGACCCTGGCAGTCACTCTGGTCTTCCTTAGTAGACTGACCCAGTGAAGCTTGTCACGTGGCTTGTGTTGGACCAAAAGTTTTAACTTTAAACATGTAACTACCAACACAGATGAACTTTCATGATAATACTGTAAATCACAGGTTTATTTAATACCAGTAGGTGTTTTGTCAGCATTTTGAGAAGCTGCCCACCTTTAGCAGGGTTGAATACCCCGTTGGTTTGCTGGCCACAGACATAACATCTCTTGGATTTCTTGTACAGCTTCAGGGCACACGCTTCACAGAAGTAGTGCTGGCATCTGTGACATGGAAGAAAATGCAAAGAAAAAAACGCTTAAAACTTTCATTCATTAATTTTACAAAATCAGCTGATTTCCAAGGGAGCCAACTTGTAAACTGCTAATGTTAAAAGCTTTACATTTCACTCAGTACTAGATGTTCTGTGAAGTTTAAGATGACATGTAAAGCAACAAGCTTCCGAGTATGTTGTAGCATTTTTACATCCATCTAAACTTGTTAAGACACGAGAAAGATCACACTCTTTCAGAATTTGAACATGGGACCAACAGCTTTCAGGACCAGTGTCCCTAAAATTGTAACCCCTACCAGTATTGAGGTTCAAAACACTGACAGCTGGGCTTAATATTCTATAATTATAAGTTGAAGAGACTACATGTACCTACATGTAGCTGTATATAAATGAAACATAATTTTATAGTCCATCTCTGGGACACCTGTTAATTTTGTAGAACATCTACATGCATGGTCATAAGTTAATTATGTATTGATGTAGATGAGAATTGAACTCACTTGGTGACCACCGGGTTTTTGAAGGACTCCCTGCAGTAAAGACACTTGAATGGAAGGTCGTCTTCATCTGAGCTGATCTCATATTGGTGAGGATCTGGGGAATAAACGATGATCTTGCATCAGTCTATGTCACAACCAGAAACTTTGTGAGAAACATTTTGTAAACTAGAAAGGTAACATTTCTAATGTAATACACTTTGAAACATTTGCAAGCAAGTGCAAAATGTTTACCTGCTCATAGTCTAGCCTAACAAACTACTGTTCTGTTTATTCATACATGACATTGCACTCAAACTCGCATATACATGTTGACCAGCCCCTCTAACTGTCCTGTAACTTGCTTCATAATGTAATCCAACACCACAGGCTGCATGCTACAGCACCAGTTACCATGGTGACAGATGTCTGGTCCAGGTCATTGACCTGATGTGTTTGGAGATGAAAACCAAGAAACAGAGCAAAAATGCTATGATATGCTACCTTTCTGTGTATAGCTTTGTGAGATAATAGATAATAATAGATAGAGATAGATAGATAGATATAGATATTATTAATATCTATAAGAAGCGAGAAATGTATTTTCTTACCGTCGTCCCCGTCACCCCCTTCTCTCCTTTCCTCCAGCTCCAGCTGCCAGCCCAGTTTGTAGTCGGTTCTGTCGTGCATGAACTTACAGCTGTCTGTAGGGGGAGGATAAAAATACATAAGTCAGTACACACACGTCCTCATCCAACCCTAACTCTAGTAACAGCCCAGTTTGTAGTCAGTCCTGTCCTGCATAAACTTACAGCTGTCTGTAGATGAAAGGGAAGATTTCAAAATGTCAGTACACACACACACCCTCATTCAACTTCATCCTGGCTGTTAATATCTGTTTACAGTATAGCAAATCAAATCAAATCTAAATCTTAACTCTCATTTGAGCTCATATAAACTCTACTGTACACTTTGAGACAACAACAGTTTGTAGCAAACATGGGACCTATCTGTCATCAACAAACCAACTACATGTAGTACCCAGACCATCAGATGAGAGAGGACAGAGCCGAGGAAGTTATGATTGATTGATCAGGCAATAATTATTAATAGATAATTATACAATCAATAATCTATAAAATCAACAATTCCACAAAAAATAATTGTGGAACAAATATGTGTATCATGTTTTTTTTTATTGTTGTAATTGTTGTGATTTGTATTGATTATTATGTGATACCCTGCATCAATTCAGCCGTATAAAGGCTGCGACTGCACGGGTACTGTTTGGACAATAAAAACCATTTATATTATATCCCTGCTGACCTCCGAAGCCACAGAATCCTGTCTCCTTGAAGTCCTTGCACAGGTCAGGCTGGTAGTCCCACCGAGTCGTCGCACGCAGATTCGCTGGGGCTCGGATTGGACCTTTCCTGTACAATAAACACAGGTTCATATAGGTAATCTCCAAGCAGATCCCTCTCGGTGGCAAATTGGCCAGACAGTATCCATTAGCCAGAGAAGGTTCGGCAGCCACCGACGGGTTGGGATTAGGACAAAAAAAACGGCCATATATAAAAAGGTAACGATTATTCCCCACAACCTCTGCTTGGAGAGTACATATAGGTTAGATAAAGGTGAAGGTTTAGTTTATTGAGATCAACAATTAGCTTAACAATTTAGATTGAATTCAAATGAAAACTCATCTGTGTTGGTAGAATCCATAGTTGCAAAGTTGAAGCTTATTTTCAACACAAGAAAGGAATTTAGATTGTAGCTTTTGTTCCTGTGATCCTTCATTACACAAATGTATACGTAACATATTAAGAATCACTACCTATGACTCCATAGGGGCAGTGGGGTGTCAAATCCTGTGTTTAGGGCACAGTATTGGAAGGTGGAGCCCATCTCTCTTCTTCAACTGCTTTTTACCTCCACAACAAAAGTTTACACATCATTTGAGCCAGTCCTTCATCTCCAAGCAGATCCTAGGGTGGCAAAAGACAGTATCAAATTGACCAGGCAGTATCCAAGCATGCACCAAAGAGTATGGGTGGGGTATGGACCCTCTCTGGCGAATGGATACTGCCTGGCCACTTTGACACTGTCTTTGCCAGCCTAAGATCTGCTTGGAGATTACAGTCCTTACTTGACCATGCCACTTGTACGGCTGCAATACCATCACATATTGCTAGGTGGCGCTGCCTTACCTGACCATGCCGCTGGCAGCATTGCCCTGTGCTGTGTCCTTCTTCTCATAGTACACCATGTAGTTGTTCTGTCCTCGGTAGATCTTATCATCTTCCTTCCCCTTCATGTCCTGAAAAAGTCAGGCAGTTTAAAACTTGAGCTTCCAATTTCATGAACATGACACTGGCACTGCCATATTATATTGTGTTGGGCTTGAAATTCATTTTTGGGAACAGGTGCACTGGAATAAAATAAGAAGAATGTCAGCAAAAACTAATCATGTCTTATTTCTAAAGACAAGTACTAGAGTAAAATAACAATGATTTTATATTGGATGTATTAATAAACCGGATAAATAAACTTGAAATAATATGATGTTAAGAATATGCTGTATACTTACTACTTCTGACATCTTTACATACAAGAATATTTGGGTGCACCCACAGAAAATAATTGGGTGCACAGCTATAAATTTGGGCACAATAAGGTGCACATGCACCCAGTATTTCCTGTTGTGTAACCCTCTTGTATCGATTGTGAACAACCAGCACAGTGTGTGACTGTTTTAAATGTCACTCTTTTTCACTGTAAGCTTTATGACAGTCAACTGCAATTCAGCCCTTGAGCCATGAAGTTGTGCTTCCATGTGTGCATGTGTAAAATAACTACCGGTAAGCCAGTTAAAAAGTGAGGGACCATTAGTAGTACCGTTGAAACCTTAATCAAATTTACCTGCACAGTGTTGACAATGAGCCCTGAGTTTACTTTGAAAACATTTCCCTCACAAGGTGAAACGTGATCTTATTCTGTTATTGTTGTCTGGCAACCTGAGGCAAGGCCGTTCCAGCCTGTGACAATGTAAAGGTGGCTGGGGAAGCAAGGTATGTTGGGAGTAAACAAGACAGGTACATGTACGTCACCGTGGCAGTTTCTGTACATTCTCTTTTTTTTTAGATAAAAAAAAAAACACCTGGTCCATTAATATTATCACACTAAAATATCAGATACACACCATATATTATTTTTATTCTGTATTGAATACTTGTACTAAAGGTTGCAAATGCACAGAAGCTTAAGTTCAAAGGTTGCTTCCTGTTAATCTTGTGACCACAGTTGGCACTGTTCAGGGTAGACCAGGAAACAGGATTGGTTTTCACCTGATAAATCTTCTCTACTTGCTCATCCACAGAATGGCTGACAAAGGATCAAATGGTGGAGGTGGAGAGGCCCCAAAAGGAGCAAAAATGGAAGACCAGGGACAAGAGACACACCCTAAACAGGTTGGGCAACAGTCAGAGGGGGAGGGGGGCCAGGGAAGTGCAAGTGTGCAGGGACCTGGCTTCACCTTCGTGACCCCAGATCTACAAGTTGTCCAAGCTCCAGGACAAGGTTACCCTGGTCAACAGCAACTCCCTCACCAAGGCCAAGGCCAGCAGGGTTATGGTAAGGCCACGAAAACCCGATCATAGTTACGCTTATGTGTGCTACGCTCAACATGCGATTAATCACTCTGACGGCAACTCATTTTTTTGTTGTGTTTGTTGCCATGTTTCAATCTGTTATTGTATGTACATGTATGCATATGGACTAGGGGCCTGAATTAAAGAATAGATAAAATCTAGAAAGGTAACACAAAGCAAAATTTAATGTTTACCTTTGCATGTGGTCTGCTGTGTTAATCCTTACTCAAACACATTCATATACATTTGTATATGGTCAGACAAGAGTCTAAATTCCTTCTGCTATAAAATTACCACGATGTAACCCAACACCAGTTACCATGGTGACAGACGTCTGGTTCAGCTCATTGACCTTATTTGTATGGAGAAGAAAAAACAGCAAAAACAAGATGTTTTTCTTCAGTAAACACAATAAATATGGGATTTTGACAGGTGGATATCCGGTCCAACGATTTTCCATGGCCCCCCAACAAGCCGGGCAGATGTACCACAATCTCCCACCTGCAAGCCAAGCAGCTGCAAATGTCGAGCAGCCGTCGGCTTTCCAGATGTCTGTGGGAGGTGCTTTTGGTGGAGCAACGGTCAGAATCCAGAGTCAGGCCCTTGCAGCAGGAGGGCTTGTCGCTGGAGCATTTGCTACGGCTGCGTATGCAGCCAGCAAGGTTTCAGAATCACCTGCAGTTGTACTGGGTACTGGACTGGCTGCAGGGGTGGCTACAGGAGTGACAACCCTGGCAGGGTTCTACCTGAACAACAGACAGCAGACAGAGGAGGCCATCCGTAAGGCCGTGGAGAAAGATCGGCACATCCGAGTAGAGAACATTGAGGAGGGGTCGCTACTAGTGCACGTCAAGTTTCTTACACTGGTAAGGCAATCAATTTTATTCTATCATTTGTGACTGTTTGATTGTGATGATTAGAAACAAAATATGAATGGGCTAAAGCCTTATGATTGAAAAGTAAGTGTGCTATGCACATATGCAGTTACTTAAAGACACAGTTGTAGCATAAGACATGGGTTAGGGTTAAGATGCCTAGCTTTAGTTTATACTTTACCTTATACTATTGCCCTTTACTTTATACTTTGTATTTTTTTAAATGTACATGATGTAAAAGACTTACACATAAAAGTGGTCAATGCAAACCATACACCCACATCTATGTGTTTGAAAGACTGCTATTAAGTGGATGAAGGTTAGATCCAGGTAATGAGACACACAAGGAGTTGTTACTCAAGCAACTGGATAGGGATGTTTCAGGCAGCATCCAATACTTTTCGTCAATGACTAACGGAACCTGTAGTTGAACAGGCATTTATCCAAAAATAGGAACTGACATGTAAATGGCATGAAGAATAGACTCCTATCAAGTTTTGTTAACATTCTGATTCATTCTTTCACCAGGCTGGCTACTGGATCATGCGCAGCTTCAATGAGAGAATCGACAAGCGATCTGACCGCACGTGTCTACAGCTACTACTGGAGGATGAGCTACGAAGAATTGGCTGGACCGGCCCGATCCAAGTGGGGCTGGAGGGGTGGTGGTTTGCTGAAGAGGAGGGACAGGAAGAGGAAGAGGCAGCAGAGACAGAGCAGGAAGAGGAGAGATGGGAGTGGGCAGGGATGGAGACACAGGTATGGCAAAATGTATAGCATTATGTATCATTCTACATTGTTTGTATATTTTATTCCCAAAATCATACGAAGAACCATACATTGTTTTAGCTCGGAAGAGGTGAGGAGGGATACTTAAAATTTTAAGTTTTGGAAAGCCCATTATCAACTGGATGATTTTTAAATGGGGGAAAATGCCATCCAAAATAAAGTTGATCATACATAAAACTGGTGACACAATTTACCCTTGGTAGGAAGAGCAGTCACTAATTTACCCTGGGCCTCTGTTTCCAGTCAGTACTGCCCAGTATGACTACGGAAGGAGATTCAGGCCTGTCTGAAGACGTGTCCTCTGTAGCAGCCATGTCCATCACTTCAGCTGGAGAGGTGGAAGAGGGGCCACTCAAGTGGCTGAGAGCCAGGCTACAGAAGCACAAGGACTCACCAACAGCACAACGTCTCATCAAGGCCTGCAGGTCCTGGGAGGAAGGAGCAGAAATCCTGACCAGCAGTGGGTACACAGACCTGGGGGGAGTCAAGGCCTTGGTACAGGGATTCATGCTGCGAGTCATGGTATCACCAGATTACACAAGTAGAGTACTGTATGGACAGTCATACCTGAACCTGAACAAAGCCCAGCTGAAGCAGCTGATGACCTCCCAGCTACAAGCTGACCCCACTGACAGCACCTGTCTGCTGCTGACAGCCCTACAGCTGCCAGATGGAGACAGCCGGGTGCAGACCCTGCAGCAGGTGGTTGATGCCATCCTACAGCACGGACCAGGAGACTGGCTGTACCAACACCTGCACTACATCTACTGCTACCTGGGGCGGGCCATATGGTGGGCAAACCCTCAGCCAAAACCAACAACAAATCTGCCTGCTCTAGCCAAAGCACTATCCGCCATGGCGAGTTCCCTTATGTACAAACAGGACCATTTGGAGACTGTGTACTTCACAGCCCAACTGTCTGAGGAAGTGTCAGAGACAGAAGCCATCAGACAGTTTGAACACTTCCTCAGGCTGGCACCAGAGTGTGATGCCTATGTGCCTTATGCTCACTACCGTCTGGCCACCCTGTACAACCAGCAGCAGGACAGACAGAAGGTGATTCACCACTTCACCAGGGGGCAGGAGAGGGAGGCCAACAGGCTACCTGGGTTTAGTGAAGTCCACAGATCCATCAAAGACCCTGCTAAAAAGGCATATGAACAAGTCATGGCATAGAAACAAACAACTTCGAAAGACCTTGTTCTATGGGAGAAATATTACTAAGTTTGATACAGGACCAAGGTTTACAGTGCAGAAAATATTGTCTTTCAAACCATTATTCTTTACCTATATTTTTAGGCAACATTCCATAATCATATGCTGTGTTCAATACTCCCTTATTATTATACACAAGGAATTATTACTCAAGCAACATTACTGGATAAATTGTGTATCACATTACTGCATGTCTCAACTTTGTAGTCAACAATTATATTAAATGTGTAAGTTCTCATTAATAACTGTATTTTACAATTTATTTCAGATACTCTGGTAATTATTCAACAGGTGCATTCTTTGTTAATAGTTTGTTTTATTTTGTAGTGGGTAAGAAATAATAAAAGATTGAGTAGCCCTATTTTGTGTGTGTTTCTATGATCCCAATTATCTTGCTTAAGTCTGTAGTACAAACAGTAGTAAAAACAACTCCATTTGTAGTGTAGCCTAATACATATTTTTGTGTTTCTCTGATTCCCAACCGGTTTGCCTAATGCATTCAGTAGGTCGTGAGTTCAATCCCCGGACGAGCTGTAACATTATTCAATACTTAAGACATTAAAAGTGGTACATACTGCTTTCTCTGCTTAGCACTTGAGCATTTGGGAAAGAGTATTAGAATTGAATGCATACCACTACCAGTGTACTAGGCCTTGCTGTAGTGATTGCACAACTGTGTGGCCCAAGCCAAATATAAATAGGGGCAACAGAAATGGAGATAATAGTTGTGCGATCGGAAAGGCTTAAACTTATTTATTAATTTTATTTCATCATGAGACGGCTGGGTAGCCCCATTCAGCTTGCATCAGCTGTTTTCCAAGGGGGCCCAGCAAAATTACACAAGACATTGTTACATACAGTAAGACAAGAGTGGACAACATACAGTAAACATAAAAGTCTGATGCGTCAAAACAGAGTCATAGTCCTATACTCAAAGTCCTAGCCGTTCAAAGGTCAAAAACACAAAAAACTATGTTTCTGAAAATAATTTCATCAGGTTGGTATAACTTAGGAGACAGGTATTTCTTTTTACACAACCGGTAAATTCTCACCTTGCTGACGTTTTGGTGTCTGTCAGACAGAGACAGAGAAGTCAATAGAAGAACCCGCTGGATCAAGGAGGCAGTTTGGATCAGAAAGTCAGCCCCTGCAATGAACCGGGACGAGGGGGGGTACAAACTAAGCCACGTTTGGGACAGTGCAAAAGCGCCACCTACATCGGCTACATATAGCGGCAAGATGCAGTACTCCAGTCAGAAGCTCTGAAGAAGGTGTCTGACAGACACCGAAACGACAGCAAGGTGAGAATTTCCAGGTTGTGTAAAAAGAAATACCTGTCTCCTACAAAAAACTATGATGCCAACCTTGTTAGCCTGTAGTTGTCTCTCAAACACAGCCTGGTCATCTCTGTCCTTCTGTGTGTCCAGTTCGTACTCCCTGGTGGCACCCATGTCATCCGGTCCCTCTGGTTTCTGCAAGGGAAAAATAACAACACTTAATTAGTAGGAGGATTAATCATCATACTAGTATATACCTGCAACTTTGGTTGTGTATTTTAGGCCTTGTACACAAAAGGTAAGCGACTAGCGTGGTATTGAATGGCAAGTCACTAGGATAGATCAAGTTTAAGAGATCACAGGTTTATTTCCTGGTATTCCTGGCTAGATGTTGTGTCCTTGGGAAAGGCACTTCTTTACACAACTTTCCTCATTTCACTCAGGTGTAAATGAGTACCTAGCTTCAGTTAGGGACGTCCATTGGATAGGACGTTAAATGGAGGCCCTGTGTTCGGGAAAGCCACACCCGGTTAAAGAACCCAACACACTTATTGAAAAGAGTACTCTCGAGTCGGGGACCTTCCCGGTGTGAGTGGTTCAAACCTTACAGTCTGGTCTCTGGTTTGACATCTTGAAGAGGTGATAGTCACCTGTTATGTCAATCCTTCCACAAATGTGGTAAATCTTCATAAACAAATAAACATGATAAACAAACATACAGCAGTTCTTGTGGATCTGTAGGTGACGGTGAGTCTGGCTGTTTCCCCGTCACTGTCCTCACTACTGGACTCTCCCTGGTCTCTCCTAGCCAGTCGCCTCGTCTGCACAGGGGAGAAACAACAATGGGTGATGAGTACCCACAGTCACGTAGCCTGAGTGTCATTCTTGTTAGCTTTCTCGTCCGCACCCCAAGATCCATTCCCCGCCAACGGATCTTGGGGAGCAGACGAAAGCTAACAAGGCTGACACTCAGGCTAACAGTCACACTGAACGGCTGAACATACTTATGCTAAATACATTGTAAAGGGTACACGCACAGGGAGGAAACAAAAATGGGTGAGCTTAAAATGGAATGTCCGACATTAAATCATTTTTTCAACAAATGGTGTTGATGAGTACCCACAGTCACACTGAACGGCTGAACATACTTATGCTAAATACATTGTAAAGGATACATGCACAGGGAGGAAACAAAAATGGGTGAGCTTAAAATGGAATGTCCGACATTAAATCATTTTTTCAACAAATGGTGTTGATGAGTACCCACAGTCACACTGAACGGCTGAACATACTTATGCTAAATACATTGTAAAGGATACATAGCTCCCTTTGCTACATGTTTCTATAGTACAATAAAATGCTTACTGTTTGTATAACGTTTATTTTATCTATCTAGGCAGGGGAGAAAGAACAATGGTTGAGCTTGAAATGCCAAACATGTTGTAAGGGTTGGGTAAAGCAGTTTCGTCCTCAAATGACGTGAGGCAAAAAGTTTATTTCTTGGACTAACTGGCCCAATACATGTACCAGGCAACAGTGGGAGCTGGGTTCATCATCATCATCATCCTCGCCGCTGTAGTCATCTATCGACGATGTGGAGTTACTAAGGCTATATTACCTTTTGAATCATGGGATTGTCTGTGACTCCTGCCTTCTTCTCTCTTCTGACAACAGCTGACACGCCTTCATCGCTGCCTGCAGAAATGGATAAAAATCATTTCATTTTTCTTCGAGGTGTCATACCTTGATAGTATATACCATCTTCGGGATGAGAAGGCTTGCCTGTAGTAATCCCGGTCTCGAACTTTACTCAAGTGTTGTACTTCATTCTCTCCCAATGTTTGTCTAACCGTGTCTTAAACTCGTTCACTGTTTTTGAGTCGACTACAGACTGTGGCAGAGCATTCCATTCATCAACAACTCTGACGCTAAAGGTCTGCCTTCTGACCCTTACCCTGGCTATAAAGGGGACCTCAAGTTTACAGTTGTGCCCTCTTGTAGGAACTTCGGTGCGTTTTGTGAAGAAAGTTTCAAGCTGGACCCCCTCCAATCCTCTTGCTAAAAATTGCCTCCGAGGTCTGTTGTTATAACCTAGGACTACACAAATTATTTTTTGACGTTCGTTTAGAACAGATAAATTCATGAGAAAGTGCAAAGTTAGAATGTTATGCAGACTCGTTATTATATATTATCCTCCAAACAACAATTTAGCTCAAACAGAGAGCCGAAAACCGTCCCTGAATACAAGGAGCTTCCATTTGCTGAATACGAACTGTGTACGTCGAAATGGTGGGAGGGGGGCATGGATTTGGTTTGAATTTTCCCGAGATATCGAACGAAAATGGCTGTTATACTACCTACCACTGGAGCTGCTGCTGGCTTTCCTTTTCCTCGCGTTGCCCAAGTTCTTCCTTTTCTTAAAACTGAAGGTACAGACCGGTTTCTTGTCGCTTGGTCCCGGGATATTCTCTGATTTTGTTTCTCCGTCCGCCATGTTGGAGGTCAACGCAGGGTCAGCGTCGTGTCAAAGGTTATAGCCCGTATCAGGCTACGTGATTGGCTGGTGAGAAATTAGCATAGACTGTAACCAATCAGACGTCACGTTACGGAGCGTTAGGGAGCAAGTGGCGGGAAAAGCAAGAGTGTCGAAGTATTTTTAGACACAGTACAAAGAAGAAGCGATCTAAAAAGGTAAATAAAATGAGTAAGAGAAAATCTACAGGCTTGACGGTGGTATCAGAAAGTGCCAGCTACGCAGAACTTCAGAAAATTCTTCGGGAACGAATATACAAGATCTCAGCACCCGAAGAAATCGACGAAGACAGCGATCTCGAAAAACCTCGCAGGTACTGTATTCAGAATCTTAGATGGTACTAGTATTTGCTGATAAAATGATAATAATAGCAATTTTTATAGTGATAATTAGAATAAGCAAATATTACAAGGCAGGGAATCGAACCCGGTACTCTCAGTTACAAGGCCTATGCTTTACCGATTGAGCTAGTTGCCAGTTCTTGTATACGCCTCAGCCCGATTTGAATCTTATACCTGTGATTCTTTCCAGTATTGATATGCCAGTCAAATTATTAATATCCATTGCCTAATGTAAATAATTCATAAAGTCAATGTCATATAGTTGTATCCCAGTTAGGGTTTCCAAAGAAAAAATTGAACCATGTATTTTATATGTTGATTGTGTACTCTACATGTATATTTTTTTGATGATGAACCATGAATCAGTGTTTTTATTTTTAAGCCAATATGATCAAGATTGTAATAACTGTTTGCCTCACCACTGCATGCTCCTGTGGTTGCCCTTAATAATAACATAACCACATAAGTCAGTGGTAGTTGGGAAGCCTTAGCTTTATATTTCAGCCAAATGAATAGATAAATAATTATGTGTACAGAACCACTTCAACAATATGCAGTATATTTAAACAATTTGACTGTTTTCCACAGACATTTGCTAGACCTGATCCAGAGATGTTCCTCTATGGGAGAGAGTAACTCAGCCCTCATCATAGGGCCACGTGGTGCAGGGAAGACTATGGTGAGGTGAATGTTATATAACTGTTAAATGAATGAATGAACCTTTATTGTATGTTTATGCGTGAGTGAGTGAGTGAGTGAGTGAGTGAGTGAGTGAGCGAGTGAGTGAGTGAGTGATCATGAGTGAGTGAGTGAGTGAGTGGGTGAGTGAGTGTGAGTGAATTTTAATGTTTTCGCTTCTCAAGTCTTGTTTGTACCTGTTTTTAGTTTGTGTAGGATTTTCATTTTCAAAAGTTTGTGATGATAAGGCCATCTTTCATGTAAACGTTAACAATTTTTTTCAATCTTGAAACATTTCTAGCTGCTGAAAAGTGTCCTGGATGAGCTGAAGGAAAACAGAGACTTCAGAGACAATGTTCTGGAGGTTCATCTCAATGGTGGGTGGATTTGACAAGATAATGCATAAACTGTAGGGTTTGAAATTCATTTTTGGGATAAGGTGCACAAAACTGCAAAAAACTGGGAGCACGGGGAATTGTTTTGCTGCTTATACAATGAAGTCTTTACCATTTTTCTGACATTTACATGTAGCTGTCAGGGATATACTGTATACATTAGATAGATATCTTAACATGTAAACCTACCAAAAAAATATCTAAGTGCCTCCATAGAAAAAAATGGGTGCACAGTCCCAATTTTGGCACCCAGTATTTCGAGCCCTGAACTGTCTAACTTCATCAGTGCTACATCAACTCTAGACCTGTGAGGATATGTACTAACTAGACAAACTTCCTACGTAGAGCTATACGGTGGACTGATAGAGATAAGTTGAATAAATTGAATATGTAGTATTATTGCTACTAAAGTAACTACATGTAGCTCATCAGCATGAAGAGATGAAGCTTGACTGCTATATATGTTCCCGTGTCCTGTAGGTTTGTTACAGACAGACGACAGGATTGCGCTGAAGGAGATCACCAGACAGCTGCAGCTGGAGAACGCAGTGGGGGACAGGGTGTTTGTGAGTATATGGACCGAATCCCATATGGCATTCATACTGCAACACGATGAATACAATTTGTTGTTTCTTAGATGAAAAAGGACAATACTGGGCAGGAAGATGAACAGCTAAAAATATTTATTGAGTAAGCTGTTTCAAACAATTTAAAAGTTCCATGATATTTCTGCTGTGTTGTTTCAGGGTTCTTTTGCAGACAACCTGGCTTTTTTGCTAGAGGCACTGAAGAAAGGTTGGTGATGTTCCTGCTAGATTGAAGGGATCACATCAACAGCAGTTAGATCAGATGAAATGCATGCAGAAATCTTAATCGAATGGTAGAAATTATCTTGCAGTTCAGAGATAAAACTGTTAAACTGACTTTTTTCTCACTACTACATTTGATGATCAGCTTGTTTCTACATTAGCATGTTTACTGATCAGCCTGCGTTTTCTCCCCACAGGCAGCAGGGACAGCCAGGCCGTGCTGTTTGTCCTTGAGGAGTTTGACCTTTTCGCCCACCACAAGAACCAGACGCTGCTGTACAACCTGTTCGACGTCGCCCAATCACAGCAGGCGCCCATCACGGTCATAGGGCTGACCTGCCGGCTGGTAGGTCATAGTTCATAGGTTAACATTCATAAAGGTCATAGGTCAGGGAAGTTCAAACATCGCTCAATGTCGCCCAATCACAGCAGGCCCCGATCACGGTCATAGGGCTGACATGTCGGCTGGTAGGTCATAGTTCACAGTTCAAAGGGTTCATACAGTTGTAGGTCGTAACAGTCGTCAGACAAGGTTATGTCAAACATGGTGAAAGAACCCAACACACTTATAGAAAACAGTAGGGTCTTGTCTTGTTTGATTGGATCAAACCTTACAGTCCGGTTTTTACACAGCTTGTACTTAAATGACCTGTACAAAACTGGTGTGCTACTCCTAAAGATGGTTTACTGATTATGCAAACAAAACATTTTACAACAAAAGGCTCTCTCCTCATTCTACCAGCAATTGTATCCCTATATCCTGACAACCCTAACCCTTTGTCAGAACTTAGGAGTGTCCTCCACTGTACCATCCATCAATCTTTAAGATGTCTCATGTCTTCAACCCTCCCTCCTCAGGATGTGATCGAGCTGCTTGAGAAGCGGGTGAAGTCGCGCTTCTCCCACAGACAGATCCACCTCTTCAACTCTCTGACCTTTGACCGGTACCTGGAGGTCTTCTCCTCCCTCCTGACCCTGCCGACTGCCGAGGTCAAAGACAAGAAGTTTTGTGCCAAGTGGAACAAACATGTCCAGGTAACTAGTCATGCCTTAAAGTACCACTGTTGTCAACCAAGGATTAAGGTGTTCAAGATCTCATTCTTTCCTAGAACTATCCAGAGTGGAACTCGCTGTCACCAAGTACAGTAGGGGCATTGTCATGTAACCTCTCGATCTTGTGTCCACTAGACTAGCCACTTGATCATTTATTTGATGTTACTTGTTAGTAGATAGTTGGAAAAGATTGTCTTGGGTACCATTCATTAGTTTACTATTTCCATCATGCAATAATGATTGCAAGTATGGGAGTGATTCCGAGCTAACAACTTTAGGAATTTTGCTGAATCTGAATATTTGCAGAACCTAAGTGATGACCCAGGAGTGACAACAATCCTGAGGAAACTTTATGACACAAGCAAGGACATACGGACACTTAAGACATTTCTGGTAAGAATGCTGGTAGAACTCTGAAACCTCTAGTAAGGATGGAGTCAAATATTTCTATTTAATGTTTATGATGTAATGGAAATAATGTGCTTTTCTATATAGAACATGTGAAATGTTCACTAAACCTCATGTCCAGGAGTAAATTGAGAAGTATTAAAGAACTTTCAACATGATGCTCTACAAATTCTGTCCAAAACTAAGGGAACAATATCTGATGGTTCTATCATCTGTTGGTCAACATTGTCTACCAGATACCTCTGACCCAGTGTTGACGTCACACTTCAAAGAAGCCACGTGACAAGCCTCACTGGGTCAGTCTACTGAGGAAGACCAGAGTGACTGGTCAAAAGCTCTAGGTGAGAGAACTTTTTTGTGTTGGAACAGAAGTTTAAACTTTAAACATCTGTTGGTTCTGTTTTATGCTTAGATGTTGCCTGTAGCAAGAATCAGCCTGTCTCATTCTAGACTGGAACTGGCAGACTTTGCCGAGGCCCACAAGATCCTCACAGCTGACTCCAAATCCAACACTTTACATGGTACGTGCTCCACTCACTGTTGTCCTGTTCTCCAGACTAAGTTATACATTAATTGTAATAATTTGCTACTGGCAGTGGTACATGTACATGTATATCCACTTGCTTTGAAGGTTTTCTTTGTATGCTCTGTTGATTGAACAATTCAACAAACAGAAATGCTCTTTTTTTAAACATTTTTGTGACAGAATTCTCTCCTCTTTTCAGTAGCTGTGTTCTCCTTATGAAAGACGTATACAAGCATTTTATAATTGCATGTTACATGAGAATTTTCTTTATAAATGGTTAGCAAGGTCATTCATTGTTTTATTGTTTTTTTTTTTTTTTGTTTCTTCCCAGGTCTGTCTGTTTTGGAGCTGTGCCTGGTTGTAGCAATGAGGAGACTCAGCGACATCTTTGTCAATCAACCCTTCAACTTCCAAATGGTTTATAATGGTAAGAACTGTTTCTTTTTTACATTTATACAGCAAATGTTTTTATGTTTACCGAAGAAAAACATATTGTTTTTGCTCAGTTTCCTCTTCTTCTTCTTCTCCAAATACTAACCTCTGACCTAGCCAATGACTTGATTTGTTAACGTCTGTCACCATGGTAACGTGTTGGGTTACATAATATTACTGTTGCAATCTTATAGTAGGAGGGATTTAGTTTCCTAATTTTTTCTTAATGTTTTCTAGTTTAAGTAGAGATAGCTGCAGTTAAGTACACTACACAAATTGTGTTGTATTGTTGTATTTCAAGGACTAGATGTAGGTGAATCTCAAACCTCAATTTGGGACCTTTTAACTTGTGAATGAGAAAGGTAACCAGCAATACCCTTTTTTGCCAATTGCGACTCTGTAGTTTTACATTAGAAGCAGGATGGTAAATGTTGTCATTCTGTTGTTCCCAGAGTACCAGAAGTTTGTCCAGACCAGGTCACACGCAGTACAGGGATTTGAGAGGCCAGTGGTGCTCAAGGTAATGCTTCGTTTCTTTCTTTTTCAATTTTTTGTGCTTTGTTGTCTTTTATATCATACGTTTCGTTCCAGAAGACTGCCCGGCCGGGCTCTTGTTTGGAAATGTGACCTTTGTGGGGTCGTGTGGCGTAGCGGTGTGCGCGACTCGGAACTAAGAGTCCCGGGTTCGAGTCCTGACATGCCACCAATCTTGTGCCCTTGGGAAAGGCACTTTACATGACTTTCCTCACTTAGCTCAGGTGTAAATGAGTATTGTCCTGTCATGTATTTGTCCCCTGTGTTGGTGGCGGCATTAAGATAAGTTGAAAAACTTGAGTGTGTCGTCACCACGTCTGGTGATTACATGTTGGAATAAATAATAAAAAAATTTTACCTCAGCACAAGGCAGCAAGATAATGAACAGCTCTTTTCATTTTTGGTTCTCACCTTCTGTCGTTCCGTCGACAGGCCTTCGAACACCTTCAGCAGATGGAGCTGGTGCGGGCAGCAGAGGGTGCTGGGATAGGTGGGCGTGGCCAGAAGGAGTTCCGACCCATGACCTTGATGATTGACAGGTCACAGCTGATGCAGGCCATACAGAAGTACCCAGCATGCCCCACGGAGGTCAAGCACTGGGCAAACACGCTGTAACCTTGACCCCCTGACCTAAAGTATCAACAGAAGTATGGACACAGGTCAAGCACTGGACACTCTGTAACCTTGACCCTTGACCTAATGTATCAAGAAAAAAAACGAAAAAAAAAAAACGAAGTGTGACCCATGGAGGTCAAATGCTCAGGGCAAACACTCTGTAACTTGACCTGTTGACCTTGTGACCTAAAAAGTATCAAGAGAAAGATGAAGTGTGAAATGAAATTTTCTGTAACCTTGAGCCCTTGATCTTGGGACCAGCAAAAAGAAAGTGTCAAGAGACATATTGAGTTTGCCTCTCTAAGATCAGATGCTGTTAATAACATTTGAAGCTTGACCGTACGACTTGTGACTTGGAGAATAAAAATACAAATCATTGGCAGATAGTCTTTGTGTTGTTGTTGTTATTGATACAGGGAATTTGAATATTAGGAGATTTAAATACTATGTAGGGCAATCTGTCATTTAAGAAAATGTTGACAGAAAGTGGGAATTTAACACAGAGCTGACCTAATATGTTGCAAGGTGAAAGGCAAAAGTAGATGTAAAAGGGAAGTCTAATGCAAGACCATGGATTAAACTTGTAAGCAGAAAAATATCCATGAATAATATAAGTTGAAACCTAGGAAGTTTCATTTAGCCTTCCTTGGTTGAACACAAAATATTCAAACTTGAATACGGTGCAAGCAAACGTGTACAACGGGAAATGTCCCATACTCTTGTAGCTCAAACATGAGCCCAGACTGAGAGTAAAGTAAAATTAAGCCGGCCAGGCACTTCTAGTAGCGTTTCAGTATTCAGTATATAAACGACTGGGTGGGCCTTAAACGTCAAATAGCTAAACCCGGCCGTATAGTTGTCTGTATTATTATTTTACTACAATTTCTTATTCCGTCTTGACAAAGTGGTACAAAATATATTTGCCGACCCCTTCGTGTCACGTATCGGTTGTCTGAAAGAACACAAGACGTGCTGACAAGTAGGTCACTGCGTCCACACCCTCGTCTCTATAGCAACGGGGCAACACCTTTACAACAGGTGAGGGTGTCTGGAGTATCAGGTTTCAGGAAGGGGGACAAGGCACACCGGTACCAACAGTAGACAACAAACATGGCCTAGCACGCTGTGTCTACACTCAGAACCGCCAAATATTCCGTCCATTCTCCGTCCTAACCTTCTAGTGCTGCTATAAACACCTGTACAAAACAGGTAAGTTTTCTTAGGCTTCTTGAGAGACTATTCTAAGACTATTCTTAGACACTTGAGTCAAGTTCGTGAGGTGTGTCTACACTCGAAATTACCGAACATTCCGTCCTAGCGTTCTAGTACTCCTCTACACACCTACAAGAAGGTGAATAAGGTAAGTTTTCTACTTAAGACTTCTTAAGGCAGCCTGGTTGTGTTCTAACACTCTTGTTATTGAACTGTAAGACCACTTGAAAGCCAAGTACAAAGCCAGCTACAAGTGTTACTGTTAGTACAGGTACACTGACTGGTACTTACACACTGCTACTGCAAATAAACAATGTATCACCTGAGGTGTTTATTTAAACACTATATGACACTTCACAGTGTGTATTTTAGTCTGCTAAGACGTTGTTTTTTCCCGTATTTTCCGGAAAGTTTTGATCCATTCTTAAGTTAAAAGCAGACTCAACCAGCTATTTTACACGGTTAGGGTAAAGGTATAACAGTCTTTTTTAGGCTGTAGGGGCAGTACATTGTACATCCACTGTGTCTAGGGCACCCTCTCCTTCCACTGGCTATTACCTCCCCAACCGAAGTCAGGTACCCATTTTACACCTGCGTGGAGAGGGAAAAGTCAAACCATTTGACCTTACCATACATTTAAACCAGGTCACGTTTCTACCTGCCGAACCGGTTTTAGTTTTCAGGAAGTTGGTCGTCCACTGGTTGAAGCCAGAAGTACAGGGTTGTGGGTCCAGTTAGCCATTAATTCAGGTATCACGGACCCTAGTGTCTGTCTGTGATACGCCTGATGCTTTTTATAACAGCCAGTTTTCCCGGCTTTTGTATATGCAGCTATGGCTGTTGCCTCCCGTGCCAATTTTGACAGTGCACGGTGTCTGAGCCGACCTTAGTGTTTCGTGCAAACAAAGCGCAAACCATGACCTTTGCTATAGGCACACTCAGCGCTGCTATTTGCAGCCAGGCTTCAAAACATTTCTTCATTTCTCTATGTGTACTGAAATAGAAATGCCAGAAAAAGCACATGACAATGGCTTCCTAAAGAAAGAGACTTAGTCTACTATTTGCGTCTGTGGGGCTGGAAGGGTCGCAAAGAAGTAGGGACAAGGGGGTCTGCCATCCCTGGTTGTCTGGTTTATGGCAAGTGACACAAGCTTTAAGCTTTTTCTTTGTCTCATTCCAGATTGATGTACCCGTGGTTCGGTCTCTACCTGGCTGCGCTGTCAGTGATACAGACTGTTCATGGGGGTAAGTACGCTGCCGGTAATGTCCAAGCAGACATTAGGAGGAGAGATAGTTACAGTAGTGATCATATCTCTGCCCATCTCCAAACAGACTTTGGGAGGGAAAATTGTAATGATATATATGATATATATATATATATATATATATATATATATATATATATATATACATACGATTCTTCAAGTAGATATAAGGTGGAAAGATTTTTACTTTGTTGTGTCTTGGGTGGGCAAGTAGACTGTGGCACCACGACCAATAAACATATCGATAGGTTGATTGATCTATTGATAAATTGATTAATTTATTGGTCGAGAAATCGCTTCATTGATGTACAAGTAAACTGTAACACATCTGGATCACAACTTACAATTCAGGGCTCTACATGTATATCGATTGCCAGATTGCGGCACGAGGACCACGGTGAGCGCGCGGATCGTGGGCGGACGTCCGGCTGCCGTGGGGGCGTGGCCCTGGCAGGTGCTTTTTTTTTATTCAACAACTTAGAATCTTACAGAACACAGTGGTGGGCGACTCTAGCAGGTTGCTTATCTTAGCCCCACCACTGACAAAGAAGAGTACATACAATGGAAAATAATAATACCTAAACAACAACGGGTAACAAAACAGCAAATAACAAAACAGCACATGGGCGTTAACACGTAAACAAGGATCATTGTAATTGTGAGCAACAGTGCAATTCAGAACCCCTGGGTTCTGCAAAACTGTTTTACATTGTCATCAATAAACCAGTCATATCATAATGTTTTGAAAATGAATTATATATTATAGTTTTCCCTAGACAGTTGAACACATTTCGTTATTTGTAAACCCATTTGAGTGAACAATGCAAGATTGAGTTAGGGTTAAGATATGCCTGTTGGTTTCCGGGCTCACGAGAGGTAAGCCCTGGCTTAAGCAATAAGTTAGTACAAGCTTGTTCAGACAGATTTTGCACATCGAGATTGGGGCCTACTGAGTGTTGAAGATTGCTGGGTAGAGACAGTCTTTGGTGCATTTTACAGGTCCAGGTGCTGGTGATTGACCGCTCCGGCGAGCAGGGTTTCTGCGGCGGGACCCTCATAGACCCCCGCTGGGTCCTCACGGCAGAACACTGCTACGACGAAGCCACGTAAGTTTATTATGTTTACTTTCGCAGAGGGAAACATATTGTTTTTGCTCAATTTCTTCTTCTTCTTCCACTTCTCGGCTTCCTTTTGTTCTTCTTCTTTTGCTCCAAACGGATAAATGGACCAATGACATAGACCAGACGTCTGTCACCATGGTAACATGTGCTGTAGCAGACACCCTGTGGTGTTGGGTTACATTATGCAAGTGGCAGAACAGAGTTGAACGCGCTGGTCACCATAGATATGGATGTGCTTGTACCATATACAGGAATGTGTTTGTACTATGGCTGTTTTAAATGTCCCATATAACAGCCAAGGACTAAATTGAAGGAGGTATGCGATCCCCTAACTCTAGCCTCTCCATACAGCTCCATTCTGGAGGACACGACTATTTTGGCGGGAAAACACAACGTCAACCCTGGGAACGACACCACGGAACAGCGGCGCACCGCTGACGTCATCCACCATCACCATGACTACCAGCAGACGACCCTGGCCAATGACGTGGCCCTGGTGAGGCTGAACCAAGCGGTAGACACATCACAGAGTACGTAACGTTAACGATAATAACAGTGATAACGCTAACGGTGTTTTCTTTTTCATTTGCGCTGTGCGTAGGGTGTTTGCACTCACGTGACTCTAATGAAAGCATTGTCGGCCATGTTGGTTGGTTGAACCTGGAAGTTGCCAGGTAGAATTGAATCTGTGTTGTGTAGTCAGATTCAGATATAACACAGGCACACAATCATGCAAACGTATATCTCTTATAGTCTCTACCAGAATAACTACGCTGGCTATATATATATAAGAGAATAATTCAGCCAGGGGAGTTTGGCCGCCTTGTAGGTTTGACTGGCCGCGCTTCGGAGGGAAAGAAACTACCTCCCCGCGGCCGGACTCCCTTGGCAAATTTTACTCTCTTTTTTGCCGAATTCTACGATCCGAATTTCCGTAGAAAGGCCTGATGGAGGCTACCATAATTGAATGGCAACACAAAATTGAAACTATAATTACAAGATGATTGCAAGATTAGAAATGCCCTGAGTAACTCCTGACCTGCTTCCGTTTTCTCCCACAGGCGCAGTCAACATCAAGTAGTAGTAGATTGAATTACAACACCGCATCAAAACCGCATTATTGCAAGAGGAATTGCCAGTTTGAAATGTTCTAGCCTGTTCTGAAATGTCCTGACCTGTTCCCGTTTCTCCCACAGGCGCGGTGAACATCGCCTGCCTGCCGGACGCGACCGACACTTTTCCAGCCGGAACCAACTGCACCGCCACAGGCTGGGGGCTACTGGAGGACGGGGGTAAGCACTAGGAGTAGTTGTGTAGTAATAGTAGTAGTAGTTGTTGTTGTTGTTGTTGTAGTAAGAAGAATAATTAGTAGTGGTGGTGTTGGTGGTAATAGTAGTAGCACACATGTAGTAGTAGTAATTGCTGTTCTCAAGTTTCC